TATCGCTTATAAAAATAATTGAATCGAAATTTTTTTCGTCACCCACAAAAATAATTAAGTATAGATTATTATTGATAATGAAAACATTTTCTGTTGACTGATTTTTCTAAACGATATAAGCCATCATTTTTAATCACTCATTTTTCACGAAACGAACGCACTCTTAATGTACATTCAAAATACTAGCTACATGTACAATAGTTGTTATGTAGAGAGAAATATTCTAAAATGTCTTGGTATTATACATCATAGAGTTAGTTCGGCTGAACAAACACAGTAGTTACCATTATCGTAAAGATATTTGCCAGGTCTGATATTGGGGTTAAGAAAAAATTACCCGTTCGCCGTTGGGTGGTGGACGCCTGGAGGAAACTACAGACACGCATGTCACTCGTTCGATGATGAATGTGCAAGAATATTTCTAGGTTGGTACTGAACCAAATAATGATGCTCACCATGATCATAGAATCATAATGTATAAAAGTGTAATATGAATTTTTTAGCTATTGACGAAAATTAAAAATTATTTAGGGATAAAACCCTTGCCGAACACCGGCAAGAGCACTAATTTTCTCAATTAGTCTCCTTTCGTATTTATTTTGCAGATACTAACATCGTGTGATTTCTCGTTTCAAGCGAAAAGGCCACTCGAGTCTTCGAGCTTGCGTGTGCACTCCGATAGAAGAAAAACTTATTCAAGCGTATAATAAGTTGGGTTGCCGATAAATTTCGCCACTAATTAAGTTAGCGGACGTAATCGAACGATACGGAAAGTTTCGCGCGGCGAAAAAAAAAACAGACATTTCTATTTATATATGGACCCAACGAACCAGAAGATCAGAGGTCGATGACAGGGTCATTTCTTCTTGCTGCATTAGTCCAACAAAACCAAGAAAACGAAGGCACGTGCTAGCGGAAGTGCAATTTGGAATCGACCCTCTTCTTATAACATTTTGGGGGATTTTTCCTAATCGATTCATCTTTGATTTATTTAGATTGTTGCCCTTTTAACTTGACCGCTACAGGTATAATCATTCGAGCAGGTGGGTTTCTTTTCAGGGGTTGGTCTTGATCCTAGAATTAGTGGCAAGAAAAATAATTATGACATGATCAAGGGCCCCTTTTTCTTGGTTAAATTTTTTAAAAAAAAATTAATGGATGAAGTTGGTCAGGATCACCGGATGATGATGGCAAAAATAAACCCAAAAATTTGATTAAATTGCCAGATCCTAAAATTGCCAAAAAGTGGAATTATATATGTTCAAAAGTTGTTTAATGTTTGTGGAATTAGCATATGTGTCTCCTGGATTAGCATCTTCTCTTTTTCCATTCGATTGCGATGCAAGGCTTTAGTAAAGATAGATTGTATTGCACACCATTCCCTTAAGCAAATTACTCCCTAGAACGATTACAAAAGGTTCGTGTCCCAATCGTTCATCTATTTTCTATTCGAGTTTTATGACCTTGCACAATTAGATTGAACGGGTCTCACTAAACATTATTCGTGCAAAGACATCTTAGAGGTATTCGGCGTTCTAAAAAAAATTCGAGAATTATTTTCTTTTCTTTTGATAATGGAGCGTCCAAGACTCTTAGAACATCTAATCGGTTCTCGTTAAAAGTATGATAACACATCGGGATACACGGTAGATGATTTTTGGGGTGCAAGGGTTCATGTAAGATGCAAATGACGCTAAGAAAATGCGCAAAAGTTTTTTTGCAAATCAAATTTGAAGCGAGGAAGATGAATATCTAGATCACCAGACGATGACGAATTAAACAAACCCAAGTTGATTACGTAAGCCGTTTAATTTCTCCTTATTGCCCGGAGGAAAAGTAGGTCCTGATTTTTAATTTAGGCGACATTTTCCCATGTTTTTCTCCCTAACCAGCAATAAAAAAGTTATGCATCGTACGGTACGATCAATTGAAAATTATAAGCTCCGGCCGGAAAGAAAATTAATAAAATTACTAAGCATGAACAGGTCGATTGACCCACAGATTTCCTCTTTAATCCTCATCTTGAAGATAAGGCATAACACATAAATAGCGGGTTCAAAATTCATACGGTGAAACCCAAACGCGATATGTTTACCAATCTCAATTTCAGTCGTATGTTTGCGCGTCTAATGATGTCGAATCAACTTTTGGATGCCTTAAAATGATGATGTTGAAATTTTCCTAACTCGTATTTACCTAAACAAATCCTAAGTTTCTTTTTTCGGCCGCCATAATTAACCTTTAGGAGTTCACATCCAAGAAATTGTGCAGAAGAACACGAACATATGACATTTATGAGCAAAGAATGTCAAAAGAAAACAAAACATGAATGGACAGTCCAGACTGAAAGAACCTCACGGTAATTGGGAGCCTTAAATGAGAGAAGAAGCGATGAATGTGGTGGCGACCGATTTTTTAGTCAAGAAAAAACATCTGGGTCTCGTCTTCAAAGCGACCATGGAAAAAAAAAACACTGAAAAAATTCGCAATGATGTCATAGTTGAATCGAATGAGCATGACCAAAGTTCAATAATCAACATCTGGGAAATTTCAATATTCCACCATTTCGGCCCGATCAACCATTGGTAACCTCACAATGGTATTTCACTGTTTCAGTTGAAAGACCCAGCAAAAGGTTGACCCCAACTTGATCATGAACAAGGCCGGAGGTAGAAATGAAGACTACTATCGACATGATGTGCTGTCGTCGGCCGTTTGAACGCGGTCCGCCGGTAATTTAGCACATCATTTCTGTAAATCAGACCAAACATTCTAGTATTACGTTTCGATGAGTACCAAGAATTTTCTTATGTTGCGTGGAAACACTGATCGAAGTTGCTGTGTCAAGCTCGGTTGTGTCCTAGCACAAATCCATACCGATTAATAAGGAGAATGGTACTAAATTTTTTTGGCAAATTTAGAGGACGAATTCAAATGTGGTAAGCGAGAGAGCAAAGGGCGGACAACAATAATTGCTAAAGAAAGTGAACTTTTTGAGAAATGAATTTAAAAGCTAGTAAAGTTAGCCTGTCAGGCCATTATATCTATCCTTCACTAATTAGGCTAGAATAAACAAAGGTTGCAACTGCAGATAGTACACTTTATATCATGAAAGCTTGGACCACGAAATGTCTACTTAATTAAAATGGATGAATCGAGTAATAAGAGACATGATCACAACCTTGATTGGTGGCCTTAACGTGAAATGAAATTGTCTGTAGATAATAGTAAAAGGAACCAAACTAGGGTTGTGCATCTAAACAACTACACATTCAGATCAATTCCTTAACTATGGTTCCGGGTAATTAAAATCAGGAGATTACTTAGCTAATAAGCCTCCCAATTATTAGCACCAACGGTCCAAGACGATGCCAAAAAGTAACCCTAGACACTTTCTCGTGTTATCAAAAACAAACTTCTCACCGACCACCGGATGAATTGCGAAAGATCTGTATGGATGGCTGCGATCGATTCGGTCCATCAAATTATGCCAAAAATTTAACAAAATGAGGGCCAATAGCTTCTAGAATTTCGGACACGGTGAGAGTATATGTACTAGAAAAGGTGGAAAGAGGAAAGGGGAGGGTGTGTGCCTGGGAAGAGAATAAAGGGGAGTGGGGATAGAAAACAACAGGAAAGGGCTAAAAAGAGAGACTGTGGCTTTGTCTCCTGAAAATCCGGTCATTATATCTTGTCGGCTGTTTTCTATGGATTTGGCTTGCTTCCTTCATGTGTTCACGTTCATGAGATGAATCTATCTTAATACCGAAATGTACCAAGTAAAGATGGACGACAGATAACCTGGATTGCATAATTTGGGCCATGTGGGGTCTCTTTTCTTTTGTGTGGTGTTGTTGGAGACAAGAAAGTTGAACTGTACACACCCCAAAATAGAGAGAGAGAGAGAGAGAGAGATTTGAACCTGTACAATGTAATTGCAGCTCATGCCAAAGCATTGCCTTGCCTTTGTCATTTTCCCAATCTCGCTGTGATTCCATTTTCCAATCGCTAAAGATCTCTCTCTTTTCACACGGGTTTCACTCTCGTGACGCGTATTCAAACACGGTTTAGAAGGGCATAACCCAATGAATGTGCTTCCACGCACAAACGCGTTGTTGCTGTTATGGTTCAAGTACAACATTCCTCTCAAATTCATCATATGAATCCCGTCGCATATGTGATGCGGTGAGGGAACAGTGAATGCCATATGGAGTTGAGGAATGTACCGTGGCATGTTTGCCGATGGAAATACAGAAAACTAATCTAACCGTTTGGTTTTTCTCTTTTACTACTTTAAATGGACAATATAATATTCCTCGTGTCGGAAGATCCACTCTTGATCATGCAATACCTTACTTATAGTTTATGAAAATGGTCGCACGCTTTAGCAGTTTATGTTGAAAAAGATAAGCTTGAAGGCCTCCATTTCTATGTCACCACAGACTCAAGAAATACGGTATGTTTTATATAATATGAGAGCTAGCGGGAGTTAAAAGTTCATCTAACCTCACTTTTCTCAGTACTTAAATTCCTTCTGAGGTCCATGATGTAATTTTGTCAAATTATTTTATTGTTTCTCCTTTCTTTTAGGTATTGACCAAATTGCTCTCTCTCACCTTTTTCTCTTTTCCACCCTCTATACTCAGTCATCATCCCACATTGTCATGGTTTTAGGAGAAACAATGCATCAAGGGTCAAATTCCATTATATCCTCCAATAAAAAAAAGGAATAGGAAAAGAGAAATATTCAATGCCCTTTCATCTATGTAGACTTTGTAATATACACACACGGTTGAGACTATTCTAGGATTCTCTCTTTCAACAATGAGTCTCATTTTTGCATGTCATTATCCCTAACCCCACTCCCCACTAATCTCTCTCTCTCTCTCTCTCTCTCTCTCTCTCTAGAGGAAAAAGGAAGAAGGGAAAAAAAAGTTCCTAAAAGACAAACCAAACCACACCTTTCATAAATCAACCCCAAGTGCAAGGCCTTTCCCACTACATAAAGTCAGGTTATAACCATCCAAGGGTAGTTTCAGTGATCTCTCTCTCCCTTCCTCCCTTCTCCCTCTCTCTCTCTCTCTCTCTCTCTCTCTCTCTCTCTCGCTCTCTCTGAGTGAAAGATGGGGTTCAGGGACTACCTTGCCAATGGCAAGGAAGAGCCATGTCATCAACCTCCAACTTTCATTGAGTGGCTCAAACCATCAATCTCAACCTCTTCTTCATCCTCTTCCTCATCCTCTTGTCTGACCGAACCCGCTCATCTCGCGAAACCCGCAATTTTCCCGGACTTGCCCAACTTGTCGCACCAGCAACAGCAGCAAGAACGGCGCTTCCTCCATGAGACCATCCGGTGCTTGCCTCTCCTGAGCAAGCTCTCTGACACAAAGCCACCGAAGCAAGAGGAAGAAGAACAAGAAGAGGTCACGGTTGTGGGAGAGGGTAGAGAGAGACAGCACGGGGTCAGAGAGTCGAGAGCGGAGAATGTCACCGTGGGGTTGCACATTGGATTGCCACTCGGTGGCATGGATGGCGGCTACGGCGACAATCTTGAGAAGAGCAAGCATGGCTGCGATGAGCTCCTGATCAAGGAAGGGGTTCACAAGAGGAACCTGTTTCATGGATACTCCAGCTTCAATGCGGAGAGCAGGTTTTGGATCCCAACGCCAGCTCAGATTCTCGTGGGGCCCATGCAGTTCGCTTGTGCCATCTGCAGCAAGACCTTCAATAGATACAACAACATGCAGGTAATTAACTTGCTCGTTTATCAATTGGTATACAGTAATTTCTTATATGGTTTTCTCGTGGAAGAGTTTAGCATTTGTTCTCTAACAATCTTTCAACAGATTTTTGCCCAGTTTTATGTTTTGAAAATTTAACACATTCTCCGCGCACACCCCTTTATACTTTTCCCCCAAAAATGATTATAATTCAGACGACGATGGAAATTTGAAAATCTTATGATGATACATGATTATTTCATTTTCTGTATCTTTTCGTTTTCTTTTCCTTTTTGTGGAAGCGGTTCGAGGGGGAGAGCGAGGTGAGACAATTCAGTCGAACATGCCTATTCGTTATAAATTCATGAACTGATGCAATGTACTTACGAAGCCCAGCTTACAATTTCTGAGACTGGTAAATGAAATCTGCAAGGCTCTTCATCCAGAAATCTAACTAACAAGAAAGCTATAAAAATGAGATGGGAAAGAGAGACTAGGTGGGAGCAGGTACTCGTGCATGGATAATGTGTTGTGGGAGTTGGATGCACTAACAAATCTTCATCACCTTTTTTAAAGATCACAATCCTGAGCATCATCCAGAATCTTTGCTTTTCTTTTCCCCTTCTCTTTTTAGCTTTTGTTGTTTTATATTCATCCCCTTTTGAATGCAATACACCGATGAGATGATTGCGTTAGACTTTCACGCCTGTGTCTTCAGTTAAACGATTCTAGTTGTTAATCCTCTAGTCCACCCAAAAGGATCTTTATGTTCATCTTCAAATGAATTCCGAGCGAAACGCTAACTGATAAAATTATAGTAATTAATTCTTTCTTAGTTTTTTTCAAAACTTTCCTCCAGTCCATGTGTTTTTTCTTTTTTTGTTACATTTTTATTCCATCTGATCTAGCCAGTCACTTAATTGGGATTTTAAGTTCACTCTCGAGTTAATTTCATCCACCAGCACCGGCGTTCATCGCCCGCACGCTGGTTAATAAAGTCATCTCATCTCATCTCATTTTTCGCTGCTTAATTACAAGAGAAAGTGTGTGCAGCCTTGAAGCATCTCGTGTTTATACCATCTCCTTAGCCTTTCAATTTACCTTCTCGATTTCAGACAACTCTCTTGTGGCTTGTAAAGTAGCCAGATTATCTATCTCTCTCCTCCTTCTCTCCAGAAGATATTCATGTTAAGAGAGAAAAATGGGAGGGCCAACTGCAATTTGAATATTGAAAGCTTCTCTTTTCATCTTATAATGAATTATATCATTATAATCAAAATCTTCTCCCTTTTAATCGTCCTTTATTATGTGAGGCGGCATACAAATCAATGTATGAACCCATCAAGCCTTAGTTCCGAAATTTTTTGGAAGACCATGAGATTTGGGTAATGCCAAATTTAATATAAACCTTCTTTTTCTTAAGTTATCAGCATAAATGCCTCAACCCTTCATATAACCAGTGCACAAGGTGAAATTTTTACTTTGAAAATCCTTGATTTTTAACTATCCTTTGCCAATTTCAGAAACTTAAATCTCAAGTTTCAATATCATGAATCCATAGTAAATAGATTGCTTTCTTTGAGTCATTGAAACACCCTTTTAACCACAGATGCATATGTGGGGACATGGATCGGAGTATCGAAAGGGCCCGGACTCACTGAAGGGCACACAACCGGCAGCGATGCTGAGGCTGCCATGCTACTGCTGTGCGCAAGGCTGCAAGAACAACATCAACCACCCGAGAGCCAAGCCGCTCAAAGATTTTAGGACCCTCCAAACCCACTACAAGCGGAAGCATGGCGTCAAGCCGTTCATGTGCCGCAAGTGTGGGAAGGCCTTCGCCGTCAAAGGCGACTGGCGGACCCATGAGAAGAACTGCGGGAAATTATGGTACTGCACCTGCGGTTCCGACTTCAAGCACAAGAGATCGCTCAAAGACCACATCAGGTCATTTGGGAGGGGTCACTCTCCGCACCCTTCTCTCGAGGGTTTTGAGGATGAGAAGGAGTGTGTCACTACTGGATCCGAGGATGAACTTGCTCGCTCGTGATTAACTATAAGTGGTGTTTTTTTTTTGTCATTACGTCTTTTGGGTACTTATCGCTTGCTTGAAGAGGGTTAAGTAAATGACACTAGACGGACTTATCTGATGAGCTCGTGCTCGGTAACAAAAAATTCTCGACGACTTGCTTGAGAGGCAAGTTAGGGTTAGGGATTGGTTTGTTACGGAGCACTTGCCATGCGATAAGCTAGTAAAAATGTTAGAGAGGGTGGGAGTAGCATGATTGCTACTAATAAGCTGATTGCCTTGGTTGTGAAGCAGATGAATTTTCTTCGCTAGATGAGCAGCTCAAAGAGAGGGAGAGGCTTTTGTTGTACCTCAACAAGGAGAAAATTTGTCAGCTTCATCGCCAACTGGTAATCTTACTTTGTATGAGAATTGTGGTGTTGTTCCACGGATTAATTGCATGGTCTTTTTTCTCTGTCTATTCACATATTGTTCCTCTCTTTTATACTTCTGAGTAGTAACTAATTCCTTATTTAGAGTGCATGATCACTTCCACATGATAATCTCATTTCAAACTTCAAATCTTACAAGGATCATTACAATAGACTGGATTCTAGGACAGTAAACATTTTTCAAATTTAGTAATGTTCGTAGGAGTTCCAACGATCAAAAGCTTGTGCCGGAGATATTGGCATCTTCGATGGATAAAAAAAATTCTACCAGATGAAACATAATTGACCTATTCATATGTCTGACATGTCATAGTTATCTGAAATAAGTTTCACGCGAGGCCTTCGTCTACTAGCCACAGGAACATGAGACCATTAGCTTGGACGTTGGTGGGGTTGTTCCTCAGATCTTTATACCTCTTTTTTGCTGGCTCCTCATGAGCCCCACAATGAATCCATCGACGCTCCATCCAGGAACGCGTTCGGTCAAATAAATCTTATGTTGAAGGTGGAATTCTATGGAGTCATAGGCACACCTATGGTAGCCCAGCAGTTAGCTTTTTGTGCCGCGTAGATTGGTGGGTGGAAAATGGTGAACCAGATGGAAAGGATGAACAGGAAAAAGCTTCAGCCAAGGGAGTCAACTTTTTCTGAAGTCGTGTCCACACTACACAGCTACAAACCTTTCCACATTTCTTCTTCTCTTATTCTCCGACTCCGCTGGGGCGGGTTTTTGCACGGCGATCTTCGTGCAAACTCCGATGGAGAAGTGATTTGTCCGTCGACGATTTTAATGGTGCATCTCTTTCATTCGACATATAGACTGGAGACAACAATCTTGTCGTGTAAAGGGTTGCGGCATCATCGTCCTCAAAGAGCCTCTTATTTGGTTCCCTAGACTCCCTCGCCATGCTTCCGCTCCGTGTTTCGACAACGTATCGTGTGATACCGATAATGTTCGATTGACAAAGAGAGAATTCTCTACCGTAGTTCTGTCATGGATCGCTAAGTTAGAAGTGCAGTTCATTAACCTAAATCTTACAAGGAGGGCTAGGCAGCTGTTGCTAAATGAGAACTCTTGAAATTAGTTGAAAGCGGTGGGCTCTCTTCGTGTGTGTGAAATGATGCCCACAAAAGCACTTCTTTTCAAAAAGAAGATGGGAAGGGCAATCATGATTTATCATCCCGAATGGATTCAAAAATTTATAAAATATTAAGAGGCAGGAAGAGGAACAGTGAAAAACTAGTGAGATGATGGGTTTGCTTCCTCAATTAGTAGGCTTGACCGACTTGTAAAGCAAGCGGGGAAAACTAACAGTAGTCATGCAAATTGTTTAATGTAGTACCAGCCACCATCCTTTGTCGGGAGAGAATTCGAAGCCTGAGATTGGGGGAGGATCAGAAAGAAAGAAATGCCATGTGGTGCTAAGGTTTAGACTAGAGCTCAATTTGTTTGTAATTTACAAGGAAAACCCTCTTAGCAACAATATCATTCGATGACGAAGCGCCTGAATTCCGTGGTTAAATCTGTAGGCGGGAAAGTAATCTTGCTGCTTAAACTATGTGCTGTCGAAAGTTCGTGCCTAATGTATGTAACGGTGAACGAGTGGATATGTTCATTGTTATAGCCTCGAATGAAGAGGAAGAACTCTCTACGGTTCGCGACTTAGCAACAGAGATTTCATCTAGCGATTATCGAGAAAACATAGATCTTGGTTCAATTGTGCCGTGCATATATCTTTTACAATATGAAGCCTTGCTTGAATAAGGGGGAAGAAATAATAATTCACCGACTCTATGCCAAAACAAATAGTCAAGGACATGAGATATAGGGGTGAGTATGGTTCCAAGATAGAACCGGGAACCGGAGAATCGAACCGTAGGAATTTGTTCGATTCTAGGTTCCAATATATGCAGGGTAGATTTCAAGTTCCAAGTGGACCTAGAACATGAAACTTGAACACAACATTGTGTTTTTCTTGTTCTATGTCTTCGTGCAATCTTGCGATATTCCGTGAAGTCCGATGATGAGCATGTAATCTAGAATCGCTAGTTTGAGTTTCCATTCTCAACGATATTCATAATTGGGACTTTTACTTTGTTAATGTTTTATATTATTCATGTATCTAAATATGAGTCATAGTCAGTGGATTATAGAAGCAAATGGTTGTCATTAGAGGTGATGATTCACTGCAATCGTTCAATTAAAAATATAAGTAGAACCTGAATAGACCTTGGAACCGATCCTTGAACCTATAACTGGGTACATTCCAGGTTCCATAGTATGCAGGGTAGGTTCCAAGTTCCAAAAATTAGGGAACGGGTTCCGACGGGTAGATTTTAGGTTTCAGGTGGGATCTAGACCGACCTGAAATCGCTCACCCTAACAAGAGAGAGAGAGAGAGAGAGAGAGAGAGAGAGAGAGAGAGAGAGAGAGGATGAGGTGAGTCAAGGTTCTATATTGATTATTTCCGGGAGATTTTACCTATTGATTATTGAATGGGCCAAGGTTCAACATTGAGCAGTGGAGCGCGCACTCTTCCTCTCGCAAAAAGTTGAGTGTTCGAATCCCGGGTGCCGCAGGGTGACTTAACCGGTGCACGTGTGTGGTGGCTAGCACGTGTCGCCCCCAGGGTTTACCTCCCGGCTGTCGGCCGTGCGGGGGTTCCCTGGGTCATAAAAAAAAAAAAACATTGAGCAGCCCGTAGAGGATGAGGTCAAGCAAGGACGGCCCGTGTTATCAAGAGGAATAGGGCAATTAAGGGCCCGTTTGGTAACGTGCCAAATAGTGAAAATTTCTGTTCTTTTGTTCCCAGAAATAGTTTGGGAACAGAAATGCGTTTGGTAAACTTTTTGTTCCCGGGCACATTTTTGCAAATATTTGTGCCGAGAAACAGTTTTGGAAGAGAAATAAGAAGTAAAAAAAAGTTGCTTCTTATTTCTCGGCACAATTTTGAGAATCATTTTTTTTTCTTCTTTTTCTTTTTTTTCTTTTCTTCTTTTTGTGTTGCTCTTCTTGGGTTGTGGCCGGTCGGCGACGGCCGGCCTGGCGTCGCACCCGGGGCCGAGGGCGTCAAGGCCCTCGCCGGCCGCCGGCGGAGGCGAGGGTCCCCCCGCCGGCGATGGCGAGGGCCGGACCCTCGTTGCACAGGCGAGGCGGCTCGCCGTCGGTCATGGCGAGGCTCGGCCTTGCCGGATCTGGGCGAGGCCGAGCCTCGTTGTGGCGACCCACTGGCGAGGTCGGCCTCGCCCGGATCGAGCGAGGCCGAGCCTCGCCATGACCGATCGCGAGCCGCCTCGCCCGGGCGCGAGGGTCCGGCCCTCGCCATCGCCGGCAGGGGGACCCTCGCCTCCGCCGGCGAGGGCCGTGACGCCCTCGCGGCCCTGGGCCGTGGCCGGCCGCGATCGCCTGTCGCCGGCGACCGGCCATGGCCTGGGTAGAAAGAAAAAAAAATTAAACAATTCAAAATATTATTAATAAAAAGAAATTTGTGTGTAGTTACCAAACGCATTTCTGTTCTTTTCTATTCCAGAAATAGAAATTTTGGACAATTTACCAAACGCCTTCAAATGCACAGAAATTATTTCCGGGCACAGAATAAAAAAAAATCATTTCTGTTCAGAAATAGTTCCCGGGCACAGAATAGTATTCATGCGCACCCTAAGAGAGAGGTCCATGTTCGTAGGGGAGACTGAAAATCCTTGTCCAAGTCTGGACTGGTCAGGTCCGAGACTCAGAGAATGGGAGCAGATTGCCCCGAAACCCCTCGCATTCCGATGGCCCCGAATTTGTAGTCCAAGCCGGCCTTGGGCCAGCTCGGGTATGGACCAGGGATAGGTGCCGGATACAAAGAGCTAGAGATAGGTGAGACCTCAAGTCGAGAGAGACGGTGATTCGGATGGAACATTGTGCGCTCCAAGTCGAATCCCAGCTGGGGCGACTTTGAGTGGCAAAAGGAGATACAACAATTGGAACGAACTAATTAGACAGCACAATACCAACTTTCAAAAGTTCCATGAGAATCGAGAACAACCACAGCCAAAGCCGCTCAATCGCCATGGTGCCTCGGCGCAATCTTTTCATCCAACGGGCGAACCAAACTCACAAATCTCAAAACACACGACGCACATAAGAGGCAAATGTCATTGTTCTTTTAAGAGGCACACGGTGGGGTTTGACAGGGAGAGGCATCCTTCGGAGAGAGACGTGATCTGAAAATTTCTGCAAGGCATACGCAGATGAATGACTAAGGACAAAGCATTCGATTCGTGATTCCTAGGTAATTTCGGGGGAGATTACTTTGAATAATTACGCATCTCATGACAATCATGGATACGAAACTCTTTCTGGATGAGAACATATTCATTTTAATTCGAGGAATACCTAGTAAAATCTCCCACGTGATGTTCAAATCTCGCTTCTCTTTGTCCTCAACGGAAGAGGGAATATGCCCGGCAAATGCATCCTACCTGCTCTCCCCAGTAAGTACGCGAAAGTAATTTTCTTTTGAAGTTACTGTACCCCGACCTACAGATGACTTTAATCCCACATTTTCTAACCCTTTGATCGGTTATGTCCAAAGTTTTAAGGAGAAAAAAAAAAAGGGAAATCGCTAGAGATCAAAAGGCTACGTTCGTATAAATGATGGGAATAAACCGAACGGGATCTTAAATTACGATTGCATGTCATGAACAGAAACCCTGGATTTGGAGCTAATATTACACGAACCAAAATTATATACTAAATTGAATATAGACCATCAAATCTGGTGAGAATATCAAATCTGGTGAGATTGTGTAGTAGGACCACTTCAGATTGTGTATTACCTGGTTAAGGCCCACCAAGGTCGTATGAAATTAAAAGCCACACCAGATCGTTTTCGAAAGAGGCAAGCCGGAGTTTTGCAACCACATTATTTGCTGACGGACTCTAACAATTGTCTTTCTTTGATCTTTGAAATCCCCAACCCTCAGTCCTGTCAGTGGAGCGATGGGTGCAACAACAATGTGAATTGAATACGGTGACCACTGATTGACCCGCTTGAGTCTGCAACTGCTGGTCAATCTTTTGCCATAGAGAGAGAGAGAGAGAGAGAGAGAGAGAGAGAGAGAGAGAGAGAGAGAGAGAGAGAACGCGCAAGAAGAACGGCAAGAGTTAATGACGCGACCCCATGATTCAGGGGAAAGACAGAGCAACACCTACCGGTTGAACTGACAGAGAGAAGCAACTAACGTTTAGGAACAGCTAAAAACCAACGGAATTAGATAAGTGGCTGTTGCCCCAGTGGCATATCCCTTCCAAAGAAGAGGATAAGTCAGAGATTTGGAATTGGAACCTCGGTTCTTGAGGATGGGGTGAGAACGAGTGATATTCGTGTCGGAATTACTGGTCCGTCGTCTTACTTAGCCGAAAAGAGCACACTGAAATCAAACCTCGCCCAAAAACAAAATCTGAAGTACACTCTTCCGCCGGAAGCCTCGCACTACTGATCCTCACTGCTGGTCTCAAAATTCATTCTAATCCTCACTTCTCCTTGTTGTGAACTTATGCTATGCATTACCAGATGGCAGGCAATAGAAGGTACTCTGCCGGTTGGAATTTAACGACAATTTGTCCATGAGATATGAAATCGAATTTAGCAATGACATCCCCACTGATCTGTCATGTCCATAAACATGACTAATCAATGTCAGCGAAATAAACAAACGAGGATGAGGAGATAATGGAGAATACAGAGTCAGGACTAAATGAAGGCATTAGATGCTAGAAAGACAGGGAAAGAAGAATATCCAACACGTAGTCCATGTTATCGAGCACTTGAACAGGAATCAAAATAGAAAAATATGAGGCAGACATTCGTGCAAGAGATGCTTCTCTTTTCCCAGCACCTAGCTTCAAGAAACTGGTTGCTTCCAACAATAGTATCATATGCTTATACCGAATTGAGTATGTACGTCCTCGATCAGGCGACTCCGAACAACACAAGTCGGGTCTTTATAAATCTAATTTTTCTGGTCCTATGAATGGACAGTCTCAGCCATCCCTACTGTGCTCAGTTTCTTTTGCAGAGATCAGCAAACAAAACTCCAATAGGAAGGTAGACCAAAACTTTCAACACCCGCTATTTGAAAGTGAACATCTAGACTACTTTTTAGACGGAACCGATCCCATTGTTCATATTAAAGAATATTCAACAAAAGAAACTTTTAAGTCATATTAATCTCCTGACTTTTCACATCGCTCCTGCTGATGCAATTAGTATCTTCACATCATTGAAGAGATATATATCAATTCCATGGGATTACCTCTCCAAATTGAGCAATCCAGCTGATGTGCCATGGGTAACACAACCAAAATGAGTAAACCAACTTCCATTCATCTAAGACAATCTTGAAAGAAGTAACAGGCTAATAACATCTAAACAATCTGTACTTTGCATACTCTGACATTCAATTCCATGAATATCCCGTGGAAGATTACAGTTAACAACATGAGCACGTTATTTCAATCTTGACACATTGAATACTAAACTATTTCCTCAAAGACCAATTGAAACCAAATACAAGCCAACCAGTGCAATTTCACTGATAGATAGTCACAGGAGGAAATTTGAACTCATCTGAAATAAATGGTATCGCTTGGGGCCTCTCGACCAAATCGCGATAGAGATCGTACTCCGCTCGGTAATCATGCAAAGTCAGCTCGCCCTTTTGATTGGTATAGTAATGATGCTTGGCCGACTCCGATTTCCCGAAGCCGAAAACACTAACTCTGTCGCAAATTCCCAAAGCCAGCATTATGGCTTGCATCCCCGAGGAATAGTGGAAATACACCTTATCATGTGCAGCATCCCATGCTTCCAAAGGTTTCCCCGTCTCCTCGGCAAACCGCCGCACCGAATAGTACTTAACGATCCGTGCGCACAGCATGTCGAAGCTCGGATCAGTGACGAGCAAAGGCGCTTTGTGAGACGAGTTACACATCGTATAATCGAGCAAGTGCACTGGTTGGCAAATATACATGACGATCGGAACATCCGCTCCGTAAGGGTGGCAAAAGCACCGTTCCCTCCGCGCACAGAGATGCAAAATGTTGCTATTTACAAACGAGACGGTGGTCTTAGACCCGACATTGCGCTCGAAGCCCTTGATTTTCGCGTTGTTCAGCCTAATCACCGCCTCGTGGCTATCGATCAGCTCCCCATGCTCGCTCTGCAGCAAAATCCCACTGTTCCCAACAACGGCACAAGACGCGTACCTCCTATCCGAGACCACCGAACCGCCGCGCCTGTCGAGCGGATGCTTCACCAGTCTAATCAAGTCGTTCATCACATCCGGCTGGAACCGCTTGTTCCTAGACCAATCCTGCAAATTCCTCCTAAAATCCTGCACGTACCTCTGATACCTCGGCGCCAGCGACACCTGGAAAACCATATTGATCTTCCCGTTGGGCTCGTAGGTGGTGAACCTCCTCCGAGACGCGAACCTCCTGAACTGCGGGTGACCCGAGAACTTCCCTTCCAGCAGCTGCTGGGTCTCCCGCTTGAACTTCTCCTCCGCGCCGTCGATCTCCGCGTACCTGAGCACGGAGGAGTTGAAGACGGCCGCCGCCGCCGCCTCCCCCGCCGCCGCCGCCCCCGCCGCCGCCGCGAGCCCGTACTGCTCGAGCTCGAGGGACCCGACGAAGCCGCGCCGGAGCACGGCCCGGAACGCGAGGGCGACGGCGAGGAGCGCGAGCAGCAGGACGGTGCAGAGGTGCCGCGCCGGCCGCTTCATCGGCGGCTCCCGGGGGCGGCGCGGCGCCGCTACCGGCGCGACGCCATTCGAGAGGCCGGCGATTGCAGAAAAGGGGTGGGTTTCGAGAATCGAGATGAACCCTAGCGAAGATTTTGGGGGGAGGAAGAAGAAACGCTGTGCAGTGTCCGTGTGGGGAGTGGGAAGATGAACGGAGCAAGAAGAAGGGAAGGTGTATATAATAAATTTTGATAATTCAACGCGGCATTTTCCACGATTTTTTTTTTCTTCTTCTTTCTTTTTTTTTTGGCGGTTTTGGTAATTTCCACATTTTTCCCGTTTTTTGTTATTGTTGTTATTATTATAATTATTTGATTTCTTGTTTTGGCAGGGCACGAGAAATGAACGAGGAAAACGATGTTTTTGTCCCGCCGGCCCCTGGACCGCACGAAAATGGCGTGCGGATGAATTTCGGATTGGGTCGGACGCTGGGCGATTTGAACGGCCGTTGGGCGGCGGTTCGGTCTTTCGTTTGCTGGGGCGTTGCCGGAGCGAAGGTAGTTAAGGGATGGGAAGTTAGCAAAGTACGCGCATCCGCAGGTCAAGTGATGTTTATCGGGAATGGCGAAGATCGTGCTCGAGCCGAGGGGGGGAAGGGGGGGGGGACCATCTAATCCCCCGATCATTCGATCGCTCGGTTCGCAATTAGCCCTTTTCCGAGCGAATGATCGTAACTTGCATCCGCTCCGAATGGGGTTTCGATGAGTAGCATCCCTGCGCGATGCACTAGTGATCCGAAGCTCTTGTATTCCGCCATCTTGTGATAGGACTTTTGAGAGTTTGTACGTGGGAAAATTACCAAAAAAGTCCTAAACCTTTTACAATTGTGCCAATTCAGTCCTAAACCTTTTATTTTGGCCAATTCAGTCCTAAACCTTTTGCAATTATGTCAATTCAGTCCATCCGATAACTTTTGGCCGGCCAAAACTGACGTGGACGCCCGCGCGGCGCCGGCCCGTTGACGTGGCAATTTTTAATATTTTTTTTTATTTTTTCGATTTTTTTATTTTTTTTCTCTTTCTTTTTTTTTTCCCTATCTTCTTCCCCAGTCGCCGGTCCGGCGACCGGCGAGAGGCTGAGGCCGGCGAGGTCCACCTCACCATGGCCAAGGCGAGGTCGAGCTCGCCCGGCGACGGCGAGGCCTCGCCGGATCTGGGCGGGGGCCTCGCCGTCGGCCGGGCGAGCTCGACCTCGCCGGCGGCAGCGAGGCCGCCCGAGATCGGAGCGAGACCTCGCCGTCGCCGGGCGAGGTCGAGGTCGAGCTCGCCGGGCGACGGCGAGGCCTCGCCCGAGATCTGGCGGCCTCGCCGTCGCCGGGCGAGGTCGAGGCTCGCCCGGCGGCGACGAGGCCCCGCCCGGATCTAGCGAGGCCTCGCGCGTCGGCTAGGCGAGCTCAACCTCGCCGGCCTCAGCCGGTAGCCGATCGCCGGACCGGCGACCGGGGAAGAAGAAAGGGGACAAAAAAAAGAAAGAGAAAAAAATAAAAAAAAATCGAAAAATAATAAAAAAAAAATATTAAAAATTGCCACGTCAACGGACCGGCGCCGGCCGGCCGGCCAAAAGTGGCCAGATGGACTGAATTGGCACAATTACAAAAGGTTTAGGACTGAATTGGCACAACTGCAATTTTTGGTAATTTTTCTGTTTGTACGTTTGTGACCGTAAAGATCTTTTTATATGGGCAGTTTTTATCGTCGGGACGAGGCTTGATTTTGGTCACGAGTCAATTGAGGATCGAAGGTTTTACTTCAGTCGATTGAAGACTCAATATCTTTAAAAAAAAATCATAATCATGTCTCGAGCTTGTCGTCGGTGGAATTTAGGTTACTGACAACGAGCTCGAGACTCGATTGGAGCTTTTCTTTAAACTATGAAGTTACCAATTGATAACTTAAGTTAATAGGAGGAATGAAATAACATGTATAGAAAGAGCATTTAAACTTGACAGTCAAGCGACGTGAGATATTGCAATACCTCAATTGACTACTAGCAAAAACCTTAGACTCTAGCTCGACACTTATCCAACCTTGAACTTTCGCTTACATTTGCGATGCTCAAAAGTGAAGAGTGGGGTTATTGCAGTTTTGCACTCCACAGCTTTATAAGTTTATGAAAGAACATAGCCTCTCTTTCGAAAGAAATGCACCAAAACTCTCTAACCCCATCGTAAATGTATAATAGAGTTCAAAAAACGGAATCCAAATCTTAAAACTTGTCCGAAAAGTAAAATCGAGTACCAAATTCGCAATTAAGATAGGACTATTTGAATGACTTCGAAGAAGGGGCTCTAAGAGCTTAGCTGAGCTCTAATTCCGACCTTGCGTCGATGCGACGCGCTCACAGCCTCCACGCCGGCCGCCGGCAGCACATACTCCTCAGGACTTCCAAGTTAAAACGTAACCGTCGTGTTCTCTTCCGTCGTTCTTAAGAAACAAAGGGGAAAATGATAGTGAAGGTCACGGCCCATTGGGCCCATCAAACCCATTGGGCCCGCTAAGCCCAAACGGGAACAGCCACCTAAAACGACGGGGAAGTCCGCCGCCTGCTTACGTCGATTATGTACAGAAATGGCAAAGGCAATCATCCCCCTTCCCTGTTCCTCCAAACTCAATTCCTACAAAATGTGCTTCGCGTTGACCACCAGTAAGTATGCATGCGAATCACGTGAGCCTCACGTGGGGTCCATATAATTCAACAATCGAAACCAAGCGAGTTCACGCATCTCGATTGCCTTTAGCAGCCTAGGGACTCGGCTAAGCAGCTAGAGGTTGTGTTCGATACGACGGAACGAAAGAAAAAGAGTCAAGAGTCGGGTCGGAACGGAACGGAACGGGAGAAGAAGAACCTTATCTCTTTGGTATCTTTAACAGCGCCAACAAGGAAGAAGGATCGCGCAGAACGTTTCTTCTTCTTTTGGACAAAGCCAGTGGAAAATTACAGTCGTGGCATGAGCAACCTATGTATCAATTTGTGTGACGAATCGAAGGAGGAAAACAAAATCTACCCCAAGATCCCGAAAAAAAGTTAAAGTTAAAAAAAAAAATGGGCAGCAAAAATCAATCAAATCTCATTGGTAAATAACCACGGGAGGGAACCTGAACTTGTCTGAGATGAACGGGATCGCCTCGGGACGCCTCGCCAGGTCCTGGTACAGATCGTACTCCGCCTCGTAATGGTGCAGCCCCAGCTCGCTCTTCTGGCTCGTGTGGTAATGGTGCTTCGCCGACCCGGATTTCCCGAACCCGAATATGCTGACCCGGTCGCAGATCCCCAGGGCGAGCATCACCGCCTGCATCCCCGAGGAGTAGTGGAAGTTGGCGCCGTCGTGCGCCGCGTCCCACGCCTCCAGCGGCCTCCCCGTCTCCGCCGCGAACCGCCGGAGCGAGTAGGACTTCACTATCCGCGTGCACAGCACGTCGAACCGCGGGTCGGTCACGATCAGCGGGGCCTTGTGGGACGAGTTGCACATCGTGTAGTCGAGGAAGTGCGCCGGCTGGCAAATGTACATCGCTATCGGGACGCCCGGGCCGTACGGGTGGCAGTAGCAGCCTTCCCGCCGCGCGCAGTAGTGCAGGATGTTGCTGTTCACGAAGGAGACGGTGGTCTTCGACCCGACATCGCCCGCGAAATTCTCGATCCTCGCGTTGTTCAATCGGATCACCGCCTCGTGGCTGTCGATCAGCTCGCCATGACCGCTCTGCAATAGGATCCCGCTGTTGCCCACCACCGCGCAGGAGGCGTACCGGCGGTCCGAGGCCGGTCGGCCGTTGTGCCTATCGAGCGGATCCTTCACTAGCCGAATCAGATCGTCCATCACATCCGGCTGAAACCGCCTGTTCCGCGCCCAATCGCGCAGATTCCTCCTGAAATCGAGCCAGAACCGGTAGAACGCCGGCGAGCGTAGCGTCGCGGGCATACCACGGGAGGCCCTCGCGTTCGGGTCGCGGTGGTTGAAGCTCCGCCAAGTGCCGTAGCTCCGGTATCGGCCGCGGCTCTCGAGGTCGTCTTCCAGCAGCTGCTCCGTCTCCTTCTTGAACCACTCCTCCGAGACGTCGATCTCGGCGTACCGAAGCACGGACGAGTTGAGCTCCGGCAGCGGCACTCGCCGCAGCACCGGTCGGGGCGCGCCCTCGAGCTCGGAAGAGCCGAGGACGACGCCGCCGCCGACGCCGCCGCCGCCACGGTGCAGCACGGTGCGGCAGGTGAGGGCGACGGCGAGCAGGGCGAGGAGCAGAATGCTGCACAGGGGGCGGGCCGGCCGCTTCATCGTTCCCGGCGGGGCGGGCGAGGACCGGCGGCGGCGGGGGGCCGCCGACGCTATAGGTGGTGGCGGCGGCGGCGGAGGAGGAGGAGGGGGAGCCGCGCGGTTGAGTCCGGACATGGGGGTCTCAGATCCATGCGAGGGACGGTCAAGAAGCTGGCGAAGAAACCCAAGAACGAAAAATGCAGAGCGGAGGAAGAGCGGTGAGGAATTTAAAGAGGAAGGATGATGAACCCTAATCGAAAGTACTTGGGGGAGAACGTTAATGGAGAGTGATGGCGGGAACTGGTGGAGGCAGGATTGTATAAAGATGAAAAGAGCGAAAGCTGGCGACACGGCAAGAACGACGTTGACACTTCTTGTTCGAATCGAAGTTGGGTTTTGTTTGAACGATTCGTGTTTTGTCGATTTTGAGATTGATTGATGAGGAGGAGGAGGACGACGAGCAATGTTGGGCGGGTAAGTTAGTTATTTTGATTGGGCAAGAAGACCCAAATGGACACGGACTCCTCGTGCCCAAAAGTACTATTGATTCGCCTCCTCGCCACCGCCGCCGCCGTCGAATTAGAGGACGTGATCGAGCCGGGTTCGTTTTGTGAGGGAACTTCGGGATGAGGCGTCTTATGGCGTCGGGTGAAATTCGGCGTGGGATTTCGTCGGATAAGATTAAGGTGACGAGGTGATTGGATCGCTAAGAAAAGCGTGACGTCTCGTGTTCGATTAAAAGAAATGGTTTGATAGCTCATATCAGGAGCGATTCCTCCCCTGATGATGCTCCTAGTGTAGAATGATATGAGTTGCTTTGTGTTTGGGTCGAATAGTTAATAAGTTTGCTAAATCGAAAATTTATATGGCTTGATTATTAGGGGTTGTATAAGGTAAGTTGGTGAAGAACCTCAAGGTACATATTTGTTAATATAATACATGAATTGGTTAATTGTCAAAATAGATCTAAATTTTATTATATGGCGGCTAATTCAATCTTAAATATGCATTTATTTTAAACGTGTCAATTCAGTTATAAACCTATTGACAATTAGCCAATTTCAGAAATTACTGACGAGGACGCCGAACATCCTAAGTGGTATGGCCGGCGCTAACGTAGAAAATTTATGCAATTTTTTAAAAATTTTCTAAATTCTTTATTGATTTATTTTTTTTCTTTTTTCCACTCCCGCAGGCCACTGGCCTGTGGCTAGCGAGGGCTCATATGTGGGCGAAGACCATCGCCTGCCGTCGCCGGTGGAGGGAAATAGGAAAAATGATAAAGGAAAGAAAAGAAAATGAAAAAAGAAAATAAAAAATTTAGAATAACTAAAAAATTTGCAAATATTGTTCATGTCAACGCCGGCCATGCCACGCACTTCGGGAATTTTTTGCCGGAAGGGTTACATTGACAAATCGTCAAAATGTGTAAGACTAAATTGGTACAATCAAAATGATTAAGACCGGCCATCGTGCAATATATTTATGATTTTTTTGATAAATTTCTCATAAATGAACAGGATGAGCAAACCGTGAAACATTGCATTTTTTCCAATTTTGAAGATGATAGAAAAGTTCGGACTCACAAAGGAAACGATGTGCGACTAACTTTCGAGCATCGATAATTTACCATCTTTCTCGTCTTTAAGATCTTTTACGTACTTTGAGAGTTTCATGGTCTAATATACCCAAATCAATTATTGTGTGCAAAGCGTTGTCGTATTAAAAGAAGATCAGCATTGAAATCACCTATATTTTGTTTGATATGACTTTGTTTAAATACCCTTTCGCACCATTTGACTCTTATTTAATGTAAAATACTCAAAACCTTTATATAGACATAGGTATGTGATTTGTAATATAATTTTATAAATTTAACATTGAACCGTGTTGTTTCCTAATTTGTTTTTTTTTTCAGAAATTCTAGTGACATCATTTCAGACACAATAACCTCGTTTTGCTCTTAATTTTTTTTATTATTTTTGGCCAGATGTTGTGGTCTTAGTGAGCACCACACATTCTATTCCACGTGATTGGATCGATTTCTTTTCTGTGAGTTTTTTTAATGTCATCTTGCATTTTTACCTAATAAAAAAAAAAGGCAACTCTTGAAAAGTTCTTGCTAACTTCCACAACGATCGATTCGCATGTATCGTCGATTGAGACGTGCAAGCGATTTTTTAATTATTTTTTTCATTTTTTTTTAGCCATGGACCTACCAAACGAGTTTAATCATTTGTTATCTCGTGCACATAACCCCTCGCTTTTATCCAAATACAGCCTGTCGTCGGCCAGATTGGGCAGAGTTATGGGAGAAACAAGAATTACGTAATTCACGAATAATCAATTTAGGAGCCAAAACAAGACAAGCAAGCCCAAAAAAAAAAAAAGAATTAGCAAAATTGGAAAGCGGCCGACCTCGTTCGGACCCATCTAGGGCAGAAGATGACTAGACAGTGACCATATGCCTAATTAATTTATTCGGGTCGATTGTATCGAGGGTGACCTTTACCTGGCCAGATTGCTATACTTTATAGCAATAATTCCATTAAAATAAATGAATAAAAATCAGAGACGATGATGATTCCTTCACTAGATCTAGAATAATACCTTGGATTCGAGTCCAACTTTGGAATCTTTAAACAATAATTTGGACCAACACTTTCGATTGGAAAGACCTAGGTCCCTTCATCTATGGGTCGATTGTTTTTTTTTTTTTTGAAATTTATTACATAATTTGAATTTCGAAAATCAAGAATTCTCCTGGTGCGGGTCAAAAAATTGTTAATGTCCTCGTTAAATTGTCGTAAGATGGTTTAAATTTTATTAATTAAACCGCCGGAAGGAATTGACTTCCAATAATTTTCTCTTTGTCCGACTTCCGGAAACTTGGCTGTAAATTGGAAAGGGACAACTAAAAAGACAAAAATTGTATCACGTACGCGCCGGACATTAAAATCAATTATGCCCACTTGATCACAAGATCGCCTATTTTCAATGTCGAGCAAAGACGATCGATGTTGATTGTATTAGTAGCTATTCAAAAGACGGATTTAAGGGTTCCATCATTTGTCTAAACTCCCGTCTTCTTCGTCAGTTTTCTCTACATTGAATAGTGCTGAGTATTGGTTCTATCGTCACTTGAAAATTATGGCTCGTTGATTTTGTAAAGTCAAACAAGATTGATTTGACAAAGGTCGAGATTCCCTAAGTTTGGAGACAAAGAAAAATTGATTGAGTAGCCCGTATCTACAAGGAAATAGTAGGTAAATCTCAAGGCGTCCATTTGCCGCACAAGTTACTCTTGATAACATGTTGCGATGCAGACACCCTTTTGCAATAGTGAATCGTACAATATTCACTCACGAGTTTTATGCGACCGTGTATATAAAATGAAATTCTTGCTCTTCGATTCATTTGAATTAGGAATTAAACTTGGAAGGGAAAACAATATTTGAAATTTCGAAATACCTTTCATATGATATTAAATCAAATCGCAAGCCTTTGATAACGGGAGCATTGCAATCCGAAACCTTTTTAAGCAAGAATGCAATAAAATTCATTCGATCATGTCTTCGCTACATGTTGCAACGTCGACAATAAAACACCAGGAGATCATAAGAACGATATTGCATGCAGCACAGAGGTCTAGAACTACATCATGCCAATTGGGAAATATTTAAGGTATATTTAAATTTCGACAAAAAAAATCAAAAATTTCCCAAATTTTCCCATTTTCTGAAATGACCACTATTGTCAACGGATAAAACAAGGGAAAATTACAATTAAGGACCCCAAGTAAGGTCGTTTACTCAAAAAAGGACTCCAAATAGACATAGTGTCAAATAAGGGCATGAAGTGTCTAATCAGTTTCAAATAAGGACCCGAAGTGCCCAATTAATTTCAACTAAGGGCCTGGGTTCGCCGGCCAGTCAAATGCTACGCGCCTGGCGAAGCACGTTCTTGTTCCGTGGCCAAACAAGGAACAATTTTGTCTTTTTCTTTCTAATTTTTTTCCTTTTTCTGTTTTTTTCTTTTCATTTTCCTTTTCCTTTTCCTTTTATGTTTTTTTTTCCTCTCTTCCCTCCGCTGGCCAAAGCAGGGGTCGACGAAGGTCGCCGGCCTCAGGCAGAGGCCGCTCTCACTTGCGTCGGGCGAGGACCGCGCTCACGAGATTTGGCGAGGGTCACCCTCACCCACCCAGCCCAGGCGAGGGCCACCCTCATCGGCGTCGAGAGAGGACGGCCCTCGCCTGGGCTGGGCAGGCGAGGGCGACCCTCGTCGGCCTTGCCCAGGCGAGGACGACCCTCGCCAGCCCAGGCGAGGGCGGCCCTCGCCCGACACCAGCGAGGGTAGCCTCCGCCTCAGGCCGGAGACCTCCGCCGGCCCTGGCTATGGCCGGCGGAGGGAAGAGAGGAAAAAAAAAACAGAAAAGGAAAAGGAAAAGAAAAGGACGAAACTGTCATTGTTCCGATCGCCGGAACAGTAACATGCTCGCCGGCCGGTGAGTATTTGACCGGCCGGCGAACCCAAGCCCTTACTTGAGACTAATTGGGCACTTCAGACTCTTATTTGACATTATGTTCACTTGAGATCCTTTTTTGAGAAAAAGACCCTACTTGGGGTCCTTAATTGGAATTTTCTCATAAAACAATGAGATCTAATTGGCTTTCATAGCCGGCAATGCAGCCATATAGTTCCAACTTTATAATTGAAAAAATAAAAAAAATATTTTTCTGACCAGTATAATATCTTTCCCTAGGACGTGAAGTAATTGCGATTTTCGACAATGTGGTAGTTACATCAGACCCCAAAAAAAGAAAAGGAAAAGAAAAGAAAAAACGTGGTGATTACATTCTAGGAATTATCATCTAAAAATTTGAATATTCGTGGTCAACCTTTCGTTCGTGCTAATGGACGTCACTTCCCCTTTTCCTTACGATTTCGGGAGATCCCTCTTCGAGAAATTTGCCCGAGTTCGCGCCTCAGCGATACACCCGATCTGTAAATTGGAAATCAAAGCTTTGTTTATTTGATGAAAAATAAATAATTTAAAAAACATTTTTTCCAAAAAATCGATCGCTCGTATCGCTTGAAATGATTAGTCAATGAAAAATATTATCATTATCAACAACAATTTATGTCTAAACATTAAACGATCGCTTTTTTGGGAAACGATTTCTACATCATTCATTTTTCGCGAAAGAAATCAAGCCCTGGCCATAAATTTTGTTCTACGTGGGAAAATGAAACGATAAATTAATAACAATCATAAGCATTACTGAATATTCTCCAAATTTCTGGCTATAAAATAATATTAATCCATGTTGGTTATTTGAAAACTCGTCCCTTGATTCTCTCTAATTAAAATATTAGAAATTTCCTAAATATTGGAGCTGATGGGTTGTGGTATCTGGGGAAGGTTTTTTTTTCAGATAATGATGCTTAAAGG